CACACGTGTGTGCAGACTGGCTCCAGGTTTTACATGGAGACACCAACCTGCCACCACAAGCGCTTTCGCTAACGGGGAGGAGGGGGGTCGAGTTTGGAGCAGGACTGGTGATCCCTGCAGTATGTTCAACTTTCTACCTGCCAGCTTCAAAAGGCCCTAATCTAGTTAACAACAGAAGCAAGCAGCAATTAGCGCTGAAGATAGCACGTTGCTGATGAGCAGCTCAAAGGAGCTGCTGGAGAGCAGGATTTCATCACGCAGCCCATCTCCTCCCAGGCAGCAGGGAGCTTCTGCTCCTCAGTCTCGGAAAAATTTCTACAGATGAAGCAGCAGCGAACCATGAAACTCCCTTTGCCGGTTCGTGGTGGGTTCACTGGTGTTTCGCCCGTGGACACACACACCAGCCCCCTGCCCTCGGCTCAGGCAGCCACCGAGAGCTGCTGGGGGGGCGTGAGGGACGCTGCCCTCCCCGGGACATCCATATTCACCTCCACCTTCAGTAAACCACCCTCTGCACGCTGCCGTGCACGGCCTGGGGCTGATCCTGGGGCACAGCGAGCAGAAACGCTGAGCGCAGGGTGAGCGGCTGGGGGGCCAGGACAGCCCGCGTCAGGGTGACTCAAACACCCAGCACCGCTGACCACGCTCCCAGACCTTCCCGTCGAGGAGACCCTTGTTTTAAATGTCCAAGTTTTTTTATTAACCTGAGTATAACAAATATAACATGTACACAGTATAAAAATGAACATAAAGCGTGACAGAGGCACAGGTACGACACAGATACGTGAACTATACAATGACCGGTTCACTGAATGATAATAATATATTAAGCATTTCATTGCTTGGAAAAAGCAAGTTTTGATTGTAAAAATTGTATCCTGTTCCACCGAAATTATACAAAGTACATTCAATACTGCAAAGTGACGCAACAGAGCAGGACCAGGGCATGGCCTGGCCAGTTAGTGTTACCTCGGGCCGGGACTGTACAAAATGAATCCAGACGCTTCTCTGGGATGAGTTTTAAGAACTTAGCAATTAAATTAAGAAGTACAAAGTGTTTCGGGGAGGGTATTCTCTCTTACAAGCATGTGGAACATGCGCTTTCGGTAGGACCAACAGGCTTCGGCAACATGCAGAGGGCGCAGCCTGGCACAGCTCTACGCGGGCTCCGAGTTGATGGGCGGCAGGTTTTGGTGCTTGAAGTACTGCACGACCTGCTGGGGCAGCTCTGCCAGCACAGCTTTGGCCAGGGTCTCCTTGGGGGCCTGCAGGCGAAAGGGAACAAACACCGGCCGTAGGGACCGACCCAGCAAACGTGGCTGGGCGGTCCCCAACTCCACACCGTGGCTTTTCATTTAACACCCCCCAGAGTCTACTGGCAGCCAGCATTTTATACACCTGGGATTATACTATACTACACCTTCCCTCCGGGAGATAATTCACTGGTAGGGAGGAATAAAACATCCTCAGTAAGTTAGAAAAAACAGGTATTGAGTAACAGCAGGTGAAATGGAAAGACACTGATGAGTTGCAAAAAGAGGGAAGATAAGCACAGGCTGATTTTCTGCATCCTCTGGCAATCCTGTGCCAGCAACAGGGGCTGGCTCCTGGCTGATCGAGATGGGCAGAGAATTGCATCTCATTTTGTCTTTTTTTTTATTTTTCCTTTTTATGCTTTTCCTTCATCAACTTTTTTCCAACATACAAGGGTGGGTCGGGCAGCGGGCAGCGGGAAGCCGTCCCGCAGAGGGGACACGTGCAGGGCCAGCGCCAGCGTTACGTGTTTCTACACGCACTGGGAGGGGACCGGGGGGGGCTCGGGGCTCACCCCCAGGGCAATCCAGCATTAAGTCCTCAGCACGTGGCATATCACGGGTGCGGGATGAGGCCTGAGTGGGAGACACCAGCACGGGACCGTGGCGAGGGACGCGAGCCCAGCGCCGCCCCCGCTCGCTGGTGTGACCCTGCTATAACGAACGGGTTTTTGACGAGGGGTGGCGGAGACAGGGGGATTCTCTGATGGAGCACGCTGCGGAGGTGCAGAGCACTGCACCCGGCCCGCAGCGCTGATGTACGTGGTCCCTGCCAGCATCGCCGGGGACGTGGCGTTTGGGGCCGGGGTAAGGCAGGTGGGTGCCAGCCCTCTCTGCCTTTTGCCTCTGGCTGCCTCTAGCAGGGCTGCTCCACATCCAGGGTCATTTCCAGGCTTGAGACC